CGGGCGTGGCGGAGCAGGCGTTACCTGAGGCTCCCGTGTCGTGGCTGTCGAGCGTTGGCGAGGAGCTGAGGAAGGGTTTGGCTGTGGCGCTTCCCCGCTGGGGTTCTGCTGCCTGACCGTGATGCTCGGGGTGTCCCGGGGGTCGTTTCGAATATGAAACGCGGTTGCGTTCGGGTGCGAGTGGAAGCGATTTCGTGCTTTAGAAACAAGAAGGTGCAGCAGTGAGGTTGGCGTGGGGGGAGGTCTGACCTCCACACCCCAAAGCCTGGGGTGATTTTTCTTGGGTGGATTTACTTTACATGCTGTGTCAGCTCCACCTTTTGCAGGGGAGTATTGAGGGAGCCCTTTCCAGATACCCTGGACTGGGAATCAGCTGTAAAGGCCGTTACGATGCTTCTGGACAGGCTCTTTGTTGTTTTGGCTCGGCAGGAAAGCACCCGGGTTGGTTTGTGGACTTGGAAGCTGCTGTAAAGCCGGATCCTTAGTGCTAAAGGCTTCTGACTGTTCTGTAAATACATTAATGCAAGTTGGAAAAAAAGGAGAAAGGAAAAAAAAAAATGTTCAGGGACAATATGCTGGTGACCCACGGAATATTGCACGTCCCTCAGCCCTCTGTGTCTGGCGGGGACACAGAGCGAAAGCTGTTGGGCTGTCGTTGGGTTTCCGATACGGAAACTGGCCTGGGGCTGCGCTCGGCCTCCTGGCTCCTGCCCCCGTCGAACGACCAAAGCGTTTGGACCACGCGGTGGTTGGCTCTTCTTTCCCAATTACTTCCTCCGTTTCAGTCATCACTAAAGATACTCGCTTACCTTGGAGTGGATGGTGTTCATCCCGCTTAAATCTGTGCCTTGGACCCTCCCCCCCTTTCCTAGGGCAGACGCTGCCCCGCACCTCCCCGCGTCCCTCCGCGCGGTTGCAGCGGTGCCGGGCTGAGGCTGAAGGCGCGCGCGCGCGTGGCCCCCCCGTTCTCCGGAGGCCGCTGGCAGCAGCAGCGCTGCGCTCTGGGGTCCCTCTGGTCCCCGCTCGCTGGGGCAGCGGGGCTGTGCTGGGCGTTGAGAGACAGTGCGTGACCGCGGCGGGCCCTGGCTTTCCCCGCTCCCGGGGCCAGCGTCCCCCCTGCTCTTCGCGCAGCCCTGGCCCCAGGAGGGCTCTGGAGGGGTGTTGTGAGCGGGGGCCGGCGTGACAGGGGTGGCCCGGCAGGGCGGCAGAGCCGGGCTGCGCAGCGCTGGCATGGCCAGCCTGACCTCGGTGGCCCCGTCTTCCTCCCTGCTTTCACCCGAGAGCTCGTGCTTCGGCGGAGGAGAGGGCGAGAGGCCGCGCTGGGGGGCTGAGCGCGAAACGGCGACCGAGCACCTTCCTTGCATGCGTGTCTGCTTTGTGTAACGGCAGTAAGGAGTAGCTGAGACAAAACCAGGTGCCGATGTGAAGCCAACTTGGAGAGGACGCTACACCCTGCGCTGCAGTATTTATCTGAACCCAAACCCTGAATGTTTACCTCAGTGTAAATATCCCCCCCCTTTCCAGTGGGAGGAAAGGAGCATTGCATGGAGCAATCGCTGTCCCCGTCGCTTTGCCAAACCCATCATCCTCTCCAAGACGGGCTTCACCTCGGTACGAACACTGTCCCTCTTTGGACCTCTCTAGGATGTGAATGGTAAAAATGTGAATATTTGTTGTTTACTTCATTAGGCATAATTCATAATGATGTGTTTATATGAAGAATATCACAGACTGAAGCAAAACCATATGCAATTGGTTTACTTTATTATAAACTGTATATGATGTACAAACTAATAAAAACTGAAATGACGACAGTCTCACTGTTGTTCTTGAACAGGCAAATAAACAAGATATTCCAGCGGTGCCTTTCAGTGCTGGCTGGGAGCTGGAGGGCCGGGTCCTTCCCAGGGCACGGGAGGGAGCGGGGGCAGCGTGCTCCTGCGCTCCCCCAGGGGCTGCCCCGGGCGGACACGGTTTTAGTTCGGATGGAACAGCCCCGGGAGCGTTTCTCAGAGGGAGGGCCCAGCAGAACACCGGGCACTCGCCCCTCACCCCGTGCAGAAGCCAGCGAGGGTGTCGCTGTTGACGGCAAGGGCGGATTACAGGTGCTACAGGGGGTATATACATCTTTTTTTTTAATGTTAGAATTTATTATCATCCATCTTTTTGAAACAGCAGGAAATTATTTTGCTTTACTGGTAAACCTGCAGCGTGCCCGGCCCCAAAGCACTCCCTGCCACTCTCAGACCCTCAGAGGAGAAACGCTTCTGGCGGCGGCAGCGTCGGGCTCCCAGGGAAGAGCCCCGGGCGAGCTGTGCCCCCGCGCCAGCTCCTCGCAGACAGAGCCCAGCACCCGCTTGTCGAACACAGTATTTACAGGTGTTAATACGGGATTAATTCCACAAAGCAGTTCCCCAAACCCTGAGCCATAGCGCGAGTTTAAACTGTTGTCCCGACCTGAATCCGTTAGTTGAGCCTTGGGTTAGAGCAGAGCAGTGACCCCAGCTCCACCGGCCGCGGGTCTGGCAAAGAGCAAAACCGTAAGTTCAGCCTTAATAGCAGAAGTGCGTGATCGTTAACTGTTTTCCAGCCAATGGTTTAGGTTTGAGCAGACTTAAGTTACGCAGTTACGGCACCGCCACTGACTCCCTAAATTACAGTTACGGCCTCCCTAACTCTTAACATTCAAGCGCATTAGAGAAAAGTAGTAAAATCTTGCATGAAGTACAGTTCTGTACTTCAGACATGATTTTAGTTTCTGTAAAATCAGATGGAAGAGACGTTAGTTCATCTCTTCCACCCCCTGCCAAGGCAGGATTGTTCCCTACAGGACAAGGACACTGGACAGGGCTTGGTCCAGCCCTCTCTGACGTGTGAAGGGAACTGGCTGGAGCCAGGCTGCAGGAACTGAATGCCTCTCCTGGTACGTCGCCTGCTCCCCTCTAAGTCCACGGTAACTGTCTTCAGGGCCTCGCCTGGCCACGCGCTCTCCAGCCTGTCCCTCCCCGCAACGGAGGGAGCGTTCGCGGCGAGCGCTGAACGTGACCTGGGGAAGGGCAGCAGGGCCGCCCTCTGCTCGCGGCCCCTCGCTGCCCTCCCCAAGGTCTCTTCTCACGGGCTAAACCATTAGTAGCTGCCACGTGACAGAAGTGATCCACGGGTGGG